ATAAAATGGCAGATAATATTATTAGCAAACCAAGATATTTGGGACTAATACAATATAAGACATATTATATATAAGTATGTGATTGGAAGTATGACCATGATTAAAACCAACCAATTTGGCTATAAAATTATATTATTTATGTATGAAGAAAATTTGAAAAAGCACTATTTCACTTATATAACTTGTACAAGGTAAAATGGTTAATGGAAAAAATATTGGTACCAAGATCGAGAAAGAGAATGGAACTCAAAATTAGTTTAAAGAATATCTAATAAGTGTATTTTACTTAATGGATATACCACTGCATTTATGTAAATATCACTAGAATGGAAACACATAAATAGACATCTTAATAAATAATTTAATTTTATGAACAAAATAAATTTAACAATTTAGAAGTTATAAAATTTCTAAATGATTTAAATAATTTATGCTGAAATAATTTTATTTAATTTTTTCAATTAAATAAGTACTGAATACAACCAGATATTAAAAATATTCTTTTATTTTTTTTGAAAATTAAATCATTTACAACAAGTATCTTTCTCATTAAGATTATTGGATTTACATATTATTGCGACTCTGCATTTACTACTGTAAAGATTAGTCTTATTTGACTGTTTGCTAATTAATTAATAAATTTCTCTAAATTTATAAATAGAATACCATTAATAAGTCTAGAAAATATTAAATCTACATTTGTTCCATCAAATGCACTAACTTCCATAAAAGCCATTGTATGATTTTTTGGAAATTAAGCTGCTTTATCACTAAGAACTTTTCTTTATGTTTTAAAATCTGCTTTCTTTCTTTTTAATTACGATTATTTTATCCTATTAATATTGCCAAAACATTTGTTTCAGCATATCTTTCAAAACTCATATGCATTTTTCAATATTCTCAAATGTCTTTTATTTTGTTTATCATAAATTAGCATAGCTCCAACTGCTCCTTTATAATATGCACTATTTGTTGATTTATATCTCTCTTACCCACCAATGTCCCAAATTTATGCTTGAATAATTTTCCATTTTCTGTTAATGATCTAGGTGCAAATTCAACGCCAATTGTTGGTTAATTATCAAAATTGAATTATCTCTTAGTAAACCTGGAAATTGTTTTCCAACATTTGAATTGCCTAATTATGCGATTAAATACCTATTAAAGCTATTTTAAATAAGTGTTTGTCATCTTATTAGGGAGTCATGTGCATATTTTTATCATAAAATATTAATTATTTCAAATTATTTTAATATTTGTTCAAGAAAACTATTAGATTTGATTAAAATTTTAGAGGGGTGATGAAATTTGAAAGAATTACTATATTTGTTAATTTCAAAGATTTACAACTATTAGTTTTCGTTTAAAATGATCTTTATTAAATTTTTTGTTTATGCAAAAAGTTTGCGTAAACATTTTTACTTGAATCCAACATTAACTATATATTGTTCCTGCCATTAAATAAAAATAAAAATATCTTAAAATTAGAAACAAACTCCAATTTAATACAATATTATTATAAATTAAAGTTACGATATTAAAAAAAAAAAAAGTTTCTTAAATTAATTTAATCCAGATGACGATGATTTCTTAAATTTTTAAATTATGATGTTTAAAAATTTCTTTAGAAAATAGATAAATCATATAAGAGTAAATAAATTCTATCAAAAAATTCTAAGAATAACAATGAGAGCTGGTTTTTTCTCCCAG